CCGAAGGCGCTCCATCCCCCAAAAGAAAAAACTAAGCTTCAGCCCCAGTGCAAACCGCAGGCCCTTCAGGCCTGAGCCTAAGCCCCTGAGGCCTGGAGAAGGTGTTTCACAAAACCTGCACAGGTCATACATGCAGCACAGTCCCGTAGAACCTCAGGGCCCATATAACCGCCCTGTAGTTAGCGAAAACAAGCAGAGCCCCGACGTCCGAGCCAAAGCGCCATGAGCGACGTGCCAGCACTGCCGCCGCCGCCATGCCTGCCGGAGCCAAGGATGGGCTCCCGAGTTTGGGTTGCCTTTTTGTTTTTGAGTGGGGAGGCTACTTAAGAGCCCTCGAAGGCAATAAGAGGGATCGCCCCCCGAGTCTGAATCCGTGCCCCCGAAATCCCGAACGCCAGATCGAAGGCCCGCTCTTGCAAAGACTGGATGCCAAAAAAAGTAGGACTTGACAAGTTTTCAGGGTTCAGGGTTTGGGCGCCGCGCCCGCACGCTGTAGAACCTACACACACTGACAAGCGTACCGGAGCTACAGCCGTGGATAATTTTACCCATGAACCAACCCGGAACGTAGATGAAATCCGCCGGCAGGTGGAACAATGCCGAGATTCCTCCTGTCGACTGGGGCTTCTGTGACAGAGTTCAGGATTGACGGGGATCTTTTGTCCGTGGCGCCTTCAGGGCTCCGGTATCCACCGCTTGTGCGGGTGCCCAATATATAGATTAGACGGCTTAAGAGCCCAGACTCAGAGATTTTTGTCTGAATCTATTTGGGGGTTGAAGAACGATTGTTCTGAAAGACGGGTGTTGGGTTGTCGCCTTGTGCAGATGTCACATATTGCAGCAAGTACCTGGTATCTCCCATTTTCGACACGTGGAAACATAAATAAAATGTGCACTGTCTGGAGGCCTGCGAAGCAAGAACCCGTTACAGTGATCAAAATGTCTTGTTGGATCTGAACGTTACAAGGGTTGTAATACAGGCAGCAATTATGCTGCGGCTAGAAGGTCGCGCAGGCAAAGAATAAAGACCACATAGGTCCTATCCGCATTGAGGCACCTGCGTCTGTGTCACTAGCTTCCCACTATTGTATCGCTGCTCCTGCTGATTTGCAGCTATGCTGTGCCATCACCACCGCTAGGCTTCTTATCATGGTTGTTGTGCACCCTAAGCCTACAAATCCCAAATAGCTCCAGCCTCAGAACTGATGCCTAAGGTATGCAGCTGTTGCAGTTTTCTGACTTTCTGGCCGCGTGCCGGCGCACTGCGACCTGGGCAGAGGCCGGCGAGGTTCCTGTGCCTTAGGGTATGGTTGGGTGTTAAGCTGGTATCGGTTCTGGCGTGTCGGCCTCAGTCGCAGGTCGTGGCCTGGCTATATTTGAGTCCAGTAGCACAAAGGTAAACTCGAAAGGCTTCACCAACTCTCCAAACATGGCTCTAAGCTCTGAATCATTGAAGCTGCCGTCTTTCATCGCCAAAGGCCCCTTGATCTCGCCATAAGCTTGCAGAGTGCCCCACATGCTTGTAACTCTTATAGTCTGCGACATCCAGACCCATCAAGGGATGAGTTGTTTCCATCGGGGTTTCTAGATTTTCATCAACTCGGAACCCAGCTTTCCTAGGGCTTGGGTCCGCGGAATCCTGGTAGCTTCAACCTCTTCGGCCGTTTAGGAAGCAGCCATCATGGCCCCAAAGATTCTTGCAGTCTTTCCAGGCAATGGAAGCGCCCGGCGTCCCAAGCCTGTACGCAACCTGGTAGCCTCTGTGCTCCTGGAGCTGCGCTTGTTCTGTTTTTTGTTGTTGGTGCCACTATTTACAGGTGCTGCTGCTCAAGTTGTTCTTGCTGTTCTTATTGTTGCAGTCGCTGTCGCTGTCGCCGTCGAGGTTACAGTTCGCGTTGCCGAAGCTGCTGTTGCTGTTGCTGTTGCTGTTGCTGTCGCTGTCGCTGTCGCTGTCGCTGTTGCTGTTGCTGTTGCTGTTGCTGTTGCTGCTACTGCGCTGCTGCTAATGCTGCTGCTGCTGCTGCTGCTGCTGCTGCGGCTGCGGCTGTTAATGCTACTGCTACACTACGACGACGGGCACTGCTGCCCCTAGCAACGACAACGATTGCTACAACCATGGGCAACAGTCTGGGAGTTTGGACTAGGCTCGCCGAGTGTTCCGTCTCGATAGCCCTCTGCTGTGGCAGTTTTGTCGCGAAGGTTCTGCATTTCGGCAGAAATGGTGGTGGTGGTGGTGGTGGTGGCGCTGATGGTGAGTATGACGGTTACAAACAAGGGAAGATGGCAGAGTGTGAATAAAGGCCATAGACAGATTTGGCTTTTTTCCGACATCAGCGTGTTCGCGAAGACATGACTTCCCCGCACCACACTCTTCCGACAACCCCAAAGCCTTGGCCGAAGAGAGGCCCTCAAGAGATGCGACGTCGTTTTGTATGAGGAAACAACCCGTGATGGAGATCCCGGGACTGAGGAACGCAGAGTCGCAGACATCCAGTGTTGTTGCTCTACTCGCCGTCGCTGCTGCTGGTGCTGGGTTGCTGTTGGTATTGTTGCTGTTGTTATGGCTGTCGGTCATTGTAAGGTAGTGTTGATGATGGTGTCGTCTTTGTCTGCCCTTGCACATCCCAGAACAATGCTCCCGGCGGCTCAGGTGATCGTGCCGTGGTTGCAAGAGACTGTCGCTGACGTGACCCCATGGCAGCTCTTGTGCTTGTAGTTTCAAATTAAACGGGGTTTGTACTGGAGGCCTGCTCATGGAACTTGACACATCAAATTGTTGGCATTGCACCCGACGAAATTCGAGATGGATCATTCTGGTCCAGCCGGACAGAGAATATCGGACTTGAGGGCTGCGAGAAGTGCTTCTTTTCAAGCTTTGCACACACCTTGGTGCCTTAGTCGTCTGGTGACAACTGCAAGATGATGTCGGATCCTGCACAAGCTGAAGCGGCTGAAGCATGCATTTCAAAGCCCAACTCTTTTTTTGGGGGGAAGTTGCAAAGTGCATCAAGAAGTAGGTTATGAGCTGTGCCAGCTCTGGGAGGGTATAGAATGGCAATGTATACTGAGTGCCTCATAGCTTGAAACTCAGAACCCAAGTGAACAAATCTTGGAAATACGTACGCAAGGTCCCCTGACCCAGTTCTCATGTCAGTTTCAGAAGACCTAACAATCAAAGGTCGAACATCTTGTCAAGCCGTGGACTCGAAACACGGGTTCCTTGGCTGGCATTTCGGGGCATGAAGCGTGCCTTCGTCATGTGTGGAGACTTTCAGGGAACCTGCTATTTTGGCATGCGGGGCTCGTGCTAGTCTCGCTGTAATGTGGGATTCTTGTTGCACTGCTGAAGTGCTTGTACTGCAGTCGCAAGAAGGTGAATCGGAGCGGCGAACGTTTGCAGAACGAAGAGCCTCAGTTTTGGGATGTTTTGCCTTGTGGCGGCCTTGTCCACGCATCAAAGGCTGCAGTGTGGCTCTGCGGATGAATCCTGAGGGTGCACAGCGTGCCGACTCCTGCTGCAAATGGGGTCTTGGAGTGTAGAAGAGTGAAGCCAGTGGAATAACTTCTGCAGGTGTTCCGTCAGTTTTTTGGCGAACCTAGGGCCGGCCAGCGCGAAAATGCTTCCAGAGCAAAGCTAGTTTGTTGGCATGTTCTTTTCCGACACTTGACTTTAATATGTCCCCGTCATCTTCCTGCACGAAGCGCATGGTTCCGGGCTTGATGAATTGCAATGAGCTGTATGTAGATTTACTCTCCATTGCTTGTCGTGTAGTGCTTGATCCTGAGCCTTTGTTGGGCCTTCTTGCAGCTGCCGCCTGGCACTTTCTAGCATCTGTTCCTTCACTGCTACAATGCATCTGGGTCTGTCGTGAGATCAGGTTGAGAGGTCTCGGGCTGCGGGGGTTTTAGGAGTCGAGGTCTGTGGCTTGGTGTGCTTGGACTGTATGGGTCTGGTGATTTGCATGCTCTTCGTTGGAGCTTGAGGGCCTTCGGGTGAGCCTGGTTTGGAACACCGCGCACAAGCACCACGAGGGCAGCGGTGGCTGTGGCGGTTGAGATGGCTCTGAACCCACTCTAGCAGTCGAGCAGCATTGACAAAGAGCAAAAGGCGGAACTCTGGCAAACAAAATCTACAACGTCCGAAAGCAAGGCCAAAACTGTCATCAATTATGCCAGTCTCAGTCCATGAAATCAAGGACTGCAGCAGTACACTCGTACAGGTCTCTCTCGCCAACTAGACTGTTGGAAAGCATGGGTCAGCTGCATCTGTGCACCTACAAGCATGCATGCTTCCACCCACGCATACACACACACACATGCATGCGAACATGCTGCACACATACATGTGCGCGCACTTATGTTTGCACATGCAGACACGACTCACATGCTCGGCCTCGAGGAACTGATGGTCTCGCATTCCTGGGCCGAGAGCATGGACGAGTGCGAGGAAGCCTTGCACAAGTTCTACAAGCGCAACTTGTCGCTGTAAGATTCTAATGATTCTAATGCCTCCGCCACACCATGTGCAAGTCTGGCCTGCTTGGAGGCTCGGATGTAGGCAGTGCAACACCTGCGGCCGTGTCTGGGCAGCCGCTTCTTCGAAAAAATCCCTAAATCCGATCATGCCCGAGTCCTTTCAGCAAGCATATTCAAGATGCCATTGTTGTGCTCGAAGCTCGAACTATCATGATGACCATCAGGCTCAGGTCAGAACCTTGATTTTTGGCTCAATGGGTTGCTGTCTATTCCTGAACTGCGCGAGCGTTCACAGCGATGGAGCCCTGAACAACTCTTACCCACTGACTGCGGATCAGCACACTCCTGGCTCAAATCCGGGTGTGCGCTTGCTTTTGTCAGGAATCCAAGGCTCCAAAGCCGTTTAACTTGCGTGATAGCGACAACCGACTTGAAGAACGTTCGAAAGTCAATCGGGGTGGAGACCAGTGGTAGACCAGCAATTCTCTCTGCCTGCGTCAATTTAACCCTTCCTGTCCCGGCGCATGGATATCTCGTCTTTTCAAAGACGGACTACTTGGCAGGCAAGGGAACTGCATGAGAGAGTGGCCCCAGACCGCTGGTGCGTGACCCTTTCTGACCTGAAGTTCTTGAAGAGCAGTGTTGAGTCCTCCATCGACAGTGGGGCCATAAAGCCTCCGGCGGATGGGTCGGATGTCTTCAGCAGCGAGGATCGATTGTACGGTCCGAGCATCTACACTGTGACGGAGCAGCATATCAAGCCTGTGACAGCACTCGCGGGCAAGATGAGCTGGGCTTTGATGCGAAATCCTAATGGCTTGGACTGCGATCTCTTCATCAGCCATGCGTGGCAGGAGGGTATCTTCGAGTTCATGTCGAAAGTGGTGCACTCCTGGCCGAGGTTCATGCGGCATGCTTGGTGCTGCATGCTGGCAAACCCCCAGCATTTGGACATCGCAGCAATGCTACAGTCGCCCAGGCATTCACCTTTTGCAATCGCCTTGCAAGCTTCCAAGGTCGTTCTGGCAGTTCCCAATCGACACTGCTCAATTTATACACGACTATGGTGTGCTTATGAAGCTTACCTAGCCGAGGAGCAGGACAAGATTATATTGATTGCAAGGGCATCCAACAGATACAACATCTGTCAGTCGATGGTGAAAATGGCTTCGGCTGCCATGGTTGGAGTGCTTCTGGGTTGGGTGGTTAACTTTGGACATGCGACGGTGACCTTCAACCTGGCCTCTCGGTGTGCTTGGAACTTTTGTCCTTGAGTTCTGCAGCGGCAAATCGGCAAATGCATTTATCGTCTGATCATGCGTTTAAGCCCGCAAGCATATACAGGCATCTGTCTGTGGACAAACAGCAAAGTAGAAACTTACAGGTTTTGGCAATCGCGTTCAGGGTTCAGTACCGCTGACAGCATTCGCATAGCTTGCAACCCATAAGTTCGTTGGCATCTGTACATAGCATGCTACGGACCGGGCGATCCAAATCCGGTCTTCCTCGCGAAGGCCCAAAATCACCTCCATCTTAAGACTTTGCATAACAATAAGTGTTTCCGCCATCCTATAGTGAGGCGCAGAAGAACCAGTTCAAGCCCTATAGTCGAGGTTTTCTTATGCATCGCAACTGCGGCTGCTGCCTGGAGCATGGGAGCCTCGGCACCTGAATTGTGAATCACGAAATCATGCCTGTCAAGCACCATGCCTCCCACGACTACACGACTACCCCATGAGTCAGAAATTTGCAGCAGACTGTGGCAGCCGCATGATTTGGCAGCACAAAACTCATGTGACTTCGGGGTGTGGAACAGCGCCCGCACTGCGGCGGGAGCGTGATTTTAGGAGGCGGGACCGCACGGTAGAGCGGCGGCAAGAGGGATTCGCGCCCCAAAATCCGTACGGACCTATGGCCCGAGGAGCTGAAACAAAGGTGTGACCCCCCCCCCGACTACTCGTCACGGCACTGTGGCGGAAGTGCAATTGAGCAGACGCCGCGGAACCGCCTGGTTCGCCGACCCGATTGCCTCGCGCCCGTATCAGCCGAAACCCTTCCCAAGAATTAAGACAATTAAGAACCCCGCACTCGTAGAATCACCATTCACGGAATAAACCTCAACAACATCTGCCCTGCTAACTACCCAACCTGATGCTACCCACCCTGCCGCTGATTCTGCTACTGCAGCTAGTACAACTAGGGTAACAAGTCTTGGCAGCCATGGCAACAGCGACATGTTTAGCCTTTGCAGCGGTGAATCAGGGGATTCCGACAGAATTTCATGAGCGTTGCATGGCCCAGATCTGCTCAGTCTGAGAATTACAGGCAGTACTCGCGATTGCCACCGGAAGTGGCTAAATCTTCTCGGAGAGGCCAGCTGGGGACTGGCGTGGCTTTTACACAGCTTCTGTTCGGTGGTGATGAGTCGCCCTAGACCCTAAAACGCTCATTTTGCGCAGTCCGAGCTGTGAAAGTGTTAGCCCTGTGCACTGCATGCATGCATACGCACATCATGGTTGCATGTGTCTGAATGGTGTTTCCATCACACCTTGACGGTCCATGTGAAGCCCAAACAATGTACCTACAATGAGGCCTTGTGCTGGTTCTTGATCTTCGATTGGTACACAGTGCATGGCCAATGGGAGAGGACGCATGCGTACCTCCACCGGTTTTCTGCCTCCTGGATTGCATTGCTCGGCTTCCTGTGCATGTAACTATGGAATGCAGGTGCCCGGCTGCCGTAAGCCCAACACGACTACATAAACACGACTACATAAAGCATCATAAAACTACACAGATACTCGGCTGCTTCCTTCCAACATTGAGTCGTTTATTGATTGGATGTGTCCCGGGCACCGGTTTTGAATTTCACTTGTTTAACATCCTACCAAAAGTCAGTTCGGAGCATCGCAGCATAACGCCACAAGCCGAGAACTGACAACGGCCTCGTCGTATTTTGAGATCTCGGTTTCAAGATTTGGGGTTGCATAGGTTTCAGGGGTTTGGAACGTCGAACGTTAAATGGGAGAGCAGGCCGTTTCTCGCATGCCTTTGTCGCTTGGCCCTTCGGGGTTGGTTGTAAAGATGTCAGACGCAACCTCAGCAAGTTACTAGCGAAGTTTCAGAGCTTCGGGAATGCAGCCAAGCCTTTCAGACGCTGCCTGAGCCCGCACCCCTTGCGTGGGGTCGGCCTCAGCGCCGAGAGGCTATCCAGCAGCGCCTGTGGCTGCTGCTCTTTGCAGGCTCGGGTTGGCTGGATAGATACAACAGCATAAAAGAGCTCATGTTGCCTATGTATGTAAGTATGGTACAGTATGGTATGGTATGGTATGGTATGGTTCGTATGGTAATGTATGGTTTGGTATGGAATGGAATGTAAATTGCAATTGCAAATGGAAGTGTAAATGCAAATGCAAGTGTAAACGTAATGCAATATAATGCAATGTAATGTAGTGTAGATGTAAGTGTAATGCAATACAACGTAATGTAACGTAATGTAATGTAACGTAATGTACTGTAAGGCACTGTAACGTAAATGCAATGTAATGTATTGTAATGTAATGT